ATAAATCAATCAATATTCGGCACTACAATCATTTTGTCCCGTATTCAGCTTAATCATCTTGATTGGCGGATACAGATTTTTGCATTAACTTGTCTATTGTTACATTCGAGATATAATTCATATGAATAAGATGTCAATAATATCAAATAAACCCTCCTTTAACGAAAAAAGGATTTGATCTTGTGTAGCTTAACATTTACGTATAACAATGTACTCTATTAATAACATCAATAATCCATTTACAAAGATACAAACGAAACATGTGGATCTCATTGTTATCAACTGTTTTCACTGTATTGCTATCAACTTCTGCCAAACAATGTCTATCGCGATCATCTATTGAACAGTCTCTTCTCGATGCTAACGTTCCTGGAGCAGCGGTCATTGTCGTGAATCACACTGATATTCTCTATCAAGAAGCATTTGGTCATCGATCTCTTTCACCAGTGCGCATGATGGATGTAGATGGTTCAATTTTTGTTCTTGCGTCCATATCAAAACCGTTCGTCGCCGTTGCTGTCATGCAACTAGTTGAAGAAAACAAACTTGATCTTGATGCTGATATCAATCAATATCTATCATCATCATCACCATTAAATCGTCGTATCTTTCATCCACAATATCCTTCTCATTCTATCACTCTTCGCCAACTACTTTCTCATTCGGCATCGATCGATATTAATAAAGAAGTGTATGACAATTTCATGCAAATTGGTGATACTGCATTGACAAAACTATCACTGGCCGATGCTTGTTACATCTATCTCGATAACTCATCAAACTGGCTGCCAACACCACCGAATACCGTGTCACTCTATTCGAATGTCGGTAACGCTCTGGCTGGATTAGTGGTCGAACGAGTATCACAAATGCCGTTTGAACGTTATGTCCGCGAGAATATATTGAAACCATTGAATATTGATACGAAAAAAGCTGGATATCGTCTGTCAGATATAGATAATCACGACGAATTAGTGAAACACCATGTATTCAATGCTTCATTACTCGATCAATGGAATCAAGAACTGCCACAACTGAACATTAAACAGGTAAAATATGCAACAGTTAACTAAAGAAATGTCTAAGATTCTTCTTTAGAGCAATCTATCCAATTGGCTTGATATTCCATTTTATAGTGTAAGTATTTACCCAGCAGGTCTCTTAAGAATGTCAGCAAAATCTCTATCTTTATTTCTTCGAATGCTCATGAGAAATGGATATCCACTATTACATTCTCATTTGATTGCTGAAATGCAGCAAACAGTTGATGGTGTTGTTCCATACCAAAGTGCGAACTCTTCTAATAGTATTGAGTTGGCTAGATCCAGCGTTTTATTTTGGTCTCGGCTTGATTTGGGAAGAGTGGCGTGATGGTCATCGATTTCTTGGTCATCGTGGAGGAATGCCGGCTGCAACACATTCAATGTTTATTAATGAACAGGGTGATATTGGTGTGATTGTTCTTACCAATGCTGACCTCTATGCCAATAATGAGGATTCAGTTAAGACTAAGCAAGCATTGGACAAGATTCGAATGTCATTGTTCAGTTGTTTTGAAAACTGAGAATTTATTTATCTATTTTGGAGTAAATCAAAATTTTAGAAAAGAAGGTCTTTCTTATGATTCTTTTATTGATCATCAGGGTGTGGATATAGCGTGTGGATTGCATCTTTATCCCTCCCCATGTACCCACCTACCTGTTAACAAATCTAATGAACACAAAACTTTCGCCTGTCAAAGACTAATTATTGACTATATGTACCGAAAGAATTCTGTGGTAAAAAACGAATGAATATTTTCTAGATCGAACTGACATCAGAAAATTCATCTTATTTATATCTTTTGTGACAAGACTGTGTGGGTGTGGATGAAGGGAAAAACCTCATTCGCACCCACATTAACAGCTCACATTCACTCACGCCAGTATCCACCAACATCAACATATCGCATCTACACCAGCTAACAAGCTTTTACTACTGATTTAAGAGAAGTATTTTTCGAATTTTTCTATCCTTTATTCATTGAATACAATATTCCGACAAAAAGCTAATCATTGTACCCAACTGTTGATAACATCAAGTTTTTTACAAGATAACAAATTTCAGAGATTATTGGCAACAACAACAACGTAATTAGAAGACCCATGTGATTCGAACCGGAAAAAAACCGGCGATATACCGGCGGTTCACCGCCGGTATTTACCGGTAGTAACAAAACAACTGGCGGTATACTGGCATGATTAGGATACGAATCTACTGATCCTTAGTCTTAGGAATCTAAGAATAAATGTAAATTAACAAAGGCTGCAAATTGATTTAGTGAATCTATTTAATAAAAAGTCCTCTTACTTTTTTATTTAGACATGGATAATTGTTTTTTGAGTGAAATTTAACTGTTTTCGAAAAGAATTTCAATAACGGTTACATTTCATTCAAAAACAACTTTCCGTATATAAATAAAAACCTAAGAGGCTTTTTAATAAATACATTCGCTAAGCCAACTTGCAACCAATGAAAATTTACATTTCCTCTTTGATTTGTAAGACTTTGAAGTCGTAGATACGATTAGCAATGGTTGCTTCGTCTTCGTTTCGTTCTTTTTAAGTCGGTCATTTTCTGATTGATCTAAATAAAAGAAAAAAAAATTGCATGAAAAAAATACTTACTTTTCTTTTTGTTGTTAACATTGCTCTAAACCAACAAAAAAATATTTTATAAATGATTACTTACTTTTCATTGTGATCTTAAAACCGATCTAAATGAAAGAAACAAATAATTTACATAAATGCTTACTTTACCTCATGGAGTTGAGATTACTCTAAGTAAAAGAAAAATATTAAAAGTTCTGTAATAAATACTTAATCCTCATTATTATGTTGAGATCTATCTAAATTAAAGAAACAAAAATAGCCATCTATATAGATAAATAGATTTGTATTTTGGTATTGCTTTGATCGTCGGCATACCGCGGTACCTAATAAAACCGCCGTTACACCGCGGTACTTAATAAAACCGCCGGTATACCGCGGTACTCAATAAAACCGTCGGTATACCAGCGGTGTACAGACGGTTTCTTCAAGTACCGCGGTATACCGGCGGTAGTTCAAATAAATGCGCGACATGGGTAATCAAGGTGCCTGGGTGTGGGTGTGGATGGGTGTGTAGGTAGGGTGTAGAACATAAGGTGTGGGTAGGGGCAGTGTGGATGTTGTTCTTTTCTAGACACATTCCCACGCCCACCTCACCTACACCCACACCCAAACCCACCCACCCCCGTTCCCCTCATAGGCACATTCCTGAATGCATTAATATAGAATTGAACCATCTTTGAACGTACTTTGGAAATAAATGGTAACCATAGATTATGTTTTCATATTTGTTTTCGTTAGTGCTATCTTTTGAAGATAGTTTGTTTATTAAATTCTATTTTTTCTGGTAATAATTATTCTTGACAACAAAATTAATCTAATTTTTTTTTCTCAATGTAAAAATGTTTTAATTTTTCTAATCAAAGATATTTCACTATTTTCTTTATTATCCAATATAATACAAATGGATTCAGTTACCAGAATTTATATTTATGGATGACTGTTTCATAATGAGTAGAATTCTTAATCTTTTCCATTTATTTTCAAAAATTAATTTAAATAAATTATTATATTAAGAACAGAATAATGTACAAGAGTCTATGAAAATCATATATCGAGTTATTTAAATTTTATCTTACTTTTCATTAATAATATCTTAAAACTAATTCGAACTCAAAATAAATCAAGCATTTATTTTGATAGAAAATAAAATAAAATTTCCCAATCAGCATAACATTACGATTTGTTCGACAGAGCTGAATGTGAAAGAGAAAAGTAAAATCGTGTTACAATCAACTGCAAAATGCCCCTTGTTTATAGATTCTTTACTAATAAAACTTTTTCATTGGTTGAATAGTCAGACCTCTTTCTATTTTTAACTATCCGATTTAATATTATCCATAATGTACGGTTGTGAAGTAATTTACATTTTAAGCACAATGAATTGTCGTCATTTTGAATTCAGCGAACCGTACTACCAACACGCCTTGATGAATGGTAATGCCATGCATTGATTCCGTACGAAAGATTTATATTCTTCTCTTTCTTAGTAATTCATGAACATTCAACATGAAGATTTGTATTGGATTTCAACAAATTTTATTTGCTTTTGTGACATAAAATGACATTACCAATCTTTTAAGGATATCATTACTTCCATATTTTCTATTTCTTTTTTCTTCTTGCTTTCTTATTAATTTGTTTACTATTCCTTTTACTCGGGTTCACCGCTTCGTTTCACTTGCATGAATATCTCTTACATATCCGGCAGAAGTATTCTAAAGATATGCAATAGCTCAGCAAATATCATTTCAAAGAGTGGCAACTTCCATTGTGCCTTGACAACAATCATAATTCACTAAACAAGGTGAAAATAAAAAAATCTATTGTACAAAAAACAATGCTCTCAGACTTTATTGATGTACGTTCACTTGACTTTTAGCTAGAAAGAAATGAAAATTCATAACTAGAGAACTATAGAACATGATAAAAGATAGTTTAGATTTTTATGTCAATAAAAATGATGGCTAACATTATTAACTACGCGTCATTACTGATTATTAGAGAGTCTTTATAATCAGAAAACACAGTTACTACTAGTAACTATTCTACTGTATTTTCTTCAATTATTTAGATTGCTTGTGTTTGCGTATTAATCTATACTTAAAGGCAAAATTGATGTCGTGCTCTAAATTATTCATTGATGTCTTCATTTCTTTTCTCATTTTTTTCTCATATTTTCATTAGGGAATTTATAATAGCAAAATTATATGCAATATAAATAAAAAACAATTCACTTCTTTCTTGATGCATGTAACTACCTAGCACAAAGCATTAACTATTCATGTGATTGCATTTCTGGTCCCCTTTTTTTCTGCAAAATAATTTAGAGTTTCTTTAGCTTATTCATGCAACTTTCGATTAAATATCACTAAAAGCATTTTACTTTTGTCATATAAATACATATTATATCACTTCTAAAAGAAAAATACTTTGTAACTCAGCATTTTAAGTCTTATTCATTGTATAGATGTTCATCAGATTTATATAGATGATGGATGCTTTAGTTATTTTGAAATATCTCAAAATTATTATTCTTATAATAACTCTTATATTTGTGTTTATTTACATAATTATAAGCGTTTTCCTGCGACATCATGTTCGTGTCTTTATATTGAATGTATGCTTGACATCAATGTTTGTTGATATCTATTGGCTTATCGATATTACATTCTTACAACATTATGTCGCATATAAAGTTAGTGATAACATATGTACTATTATCTTCTATATACGAATGGTATGTAGTTGTCAAACATCATTTTCATTGGTTGTAGTTTCTATAAATCGACTGTTATATATGACTACGTCTGA